GATTCAAGCAGTGGTTCTCAAACTGGGGCAGTCATGCCCCTCAGGGAACATTTGGTCATATTAATTGCCACACTGGGCAGATGAGGGGAGAGGGAGACAGGCAGATTTCATGGGGACAGGCCGAATGTGTTGCTGACATCCTATAGTGCCCTACAGTAGGCTGATTGCATTGTCAACCCCCCAAATTTGGTAGGTGCTTCCCAAGTTCATTTGACCTTGGAATCTGGTATACTGGCCATGTCACAGGTTGAGTGTTCTGCTGAAGTCACTTTGGAAAGACTACCCTAGCATCATGGGGATTAGGAGAAGGAAATTGAAGGCGAGTAGAATTTCATAGATTTTTGTCATTTTAGAGTTGAGAGGGACAACCATACTCCTTCATATTACAGAGAAGAAAATGGGCCCAGAGAGCTGACAATTGCCCAAAGTCATTCAAATGACAGACAGCAGAACAGAGATTAAGAACATGGGGTAGAAGTAGACTGAGGTCAAATTCTGGCTCTGTTCCTACTGACTGTGAGTTGTGCCTGAGATGATGGATTAGACTAATTTGTGGAAAAGAGAAAGTGATAATACCTATGAATATTGAATGAGTTCATCCGTGTACCGCACTCAGCACGAGGGCTCAGTAGATGGTGGATATCATCAAGAGCTGGCCTGGACTCGTGCCCAGCCTGGACTCCAGCCCCACATCCCTGTCTCCATCTGATGTTCCTTCCAGTGTCCCAGGATGGGCAGAGAAAGAGATGAGGAGAAGCAGAGGCACAAAAGTGGGGATGCACATGGTATATCCAGCTATGAGGGATTCCATCTGAACCTGGGACATGACACGGACTAACGCAAGTCACGGCCTGGCAGTGGAGGTGATGACAGGCAGGCAGATGGCCAGAATAAAGGCCCATCTCCCCCACCGGCTAGTACATGGTCCCTGGCAACTCACTGAGCCTCTCCTGAGCTGTCTTATTGTCTATAGGTGACAATGGTGGCAGTTCCTTCCTCATACATGTGAGCATTAAATGGGATGATGTCTGCAAAGTGTGAGGACCAGGAAGTGGCAGGTATTTCATTATTGCTGTGGTTACTATTATGATCAGCATCTCCTGTTGAAAGGGCCAGGAGTGGGTGTCCAGATTCTCACAAGGCTACTTCCTCCCATGGGGCCAAAGCTCTTACCTCCCCCATAGTTTCCTTCCTATCTTCTCTTGATGCCTTTCTCTTCTGGTAGCTGGTTGAAAACCTTGCAGGTCTGCAGGATCTCTAGTGCCAAACCAAGGGTCTCCAGGAGAAATACAGTTCTAATTGTCTCCAGTTCTTTCACTCAGTATTGTGTACCTGAGTGCACAATACTGTTATGCATGCTCGACGAATGTTGCCCACCTCAGATATTGGGGGGGGGTGAGAAGTAAATGACATGGAACATGTGCTGATGTTTCATTGGAATTCTGTTAGCTGTTTCCCCAGTGTCTTCATGTCCCTCCAATAACATGGTAAAATCTCACTTCTTCACAACTGCATGGAAGTTTGGGTGATTGTTTAATATTTATCTCCTCCTCTGTCCTGTGAGCACCTTCAGGATAGGACTGGATCTCTCTTGTTCGATATTGTGTCCTTAGCATCTGGTACAGGGCCTGGTGCATACCCATCCCACAGATGTTTTACGTGTGCATTCTAGGTAATTTCCTCTGTTGTGCATATGTGTGCATATAAGACATTTAACTGTTAAGTGAATATTCAGTAAGGCCTTGTACATGGCATCATGATTAAGAACAAAGATTTTGAAGTCAGATAGACTGAGTTCAAGATGCATCTCTACCTCAGTGTAGCTGTGAATTCCGGGACAGATTACACACCCTCTCTGTGCCTTAGTTTTTCATGTATATAAAGCAAGAAATCATAGTTCCCATTTCATAGGCTGTTTTAAGGATTAAGTGAGGTAAAATATGTAAAGCAAGGACTTGGAATATCATAAACGTCTCATCAACAGTAACTATTAATGCTACTAAATGTTTTTGCTGAATGAAAATAATTCCTGGCATTGATATTATGACTTGGCTATGTAGGGATGTGGCATGAACTGCAAGCTGTGCTTCTGTGTCGTCTGTGTCTTGCCCTCTGTGACCGGCCTAAAATAGGCACTCCTCAGATCATCAGTGGTGGTTGATCACAAAATCGTCCTCTTTCCTTCCATCTCCTTCACATGAGGGTGTCATTTGAGGCTTCACAGTGCTGCTATACTGGCCTCCTGATATGTCAAGTATTTGAATGGAGTCCTAGGTGTAACATTGAAAAGCACCATGAATGCATATAATTTTTGTTTGTCAATTGAAATTTTTTAAATAAAAACATTGAAAGAATTTCTTTGTAAACATTTTTACAACTTTTAAATAGCCCACAGCTTCTGTATTCCTCAGTCCTACATTCTCTAGAGTTTTGATTAATGAAATACGATTGGCCAGCACAGAAGCAGTGCACGCTGGTCACAAAAGCCATGACTGGTGTGGGTCAAGGACCTACTGTGTAGCGTGCTTATAGGTCAAGTGTGAATCCCCATTCTGCTGCTGGGAAAACTAAAGCTAGAGTTGTGAATAAAATGTCCACAGCTAGTCACAGACAGTGGCAGGAATTGGCTGACTCCAGAGCACCATTTGCCAAGGCCCTTTTAACTGCCTCAGGCTATCCTCGCAGGGGCACGAGGTGAAGGTGACCAAGACTCAGGGGCTCCTGCTCCACCGGAGATGCTTTACTTGGAATTTCCAAGTCCCCGGTACTAACAAGATTGCTGTGAGCTGAAACTAACCTGAGCATTTTCTTCCTGTCTAGTTCTCAGCCAATCTGAGCCCAGGGGCTAGTGCTTGATTGAAACACAAGAGATCAGGGCAGACTGAGACACAGCCTCAAGTTTAATTCTGATTGATCAAGCTTTTTGTTGTTGGTCTCTTAAATGGTTCTGTGAAAATTAACATTTCGGTTTGGCTTATGGTTTAATTCAAGTTTTCAAAGAGAACTTATGACCTGGAACTTAGGCTGTCTACACAGAATTTGTTCCTGACAACATGAGTGCATTGAGCAGGCGGAAAGGAGGATGTTTTAGAGCAGAGGTCCTCAAACTTTTAAAACAGGGAGCCAGTTCACTGTCCCTCAGACCGTTGGAGGGGCGGACTATAGTTTAAAAAAAAAACTATGAACAAATTCCTTTTTTTTTTTAAACTATAGTCTGCCCCTCCAACGGTCTGAGGAACAGTGAACTGGTCCCCTGTTTTAAAAGTTTGAGGACCCCTGTTTTAGAGAATGAGTCCATCCAGCAAGCTGCAGGCCTGTGTTTGGTTCAGCTGAAAATTGTGATATAAACCCTGATTAGGTTGAACCATCCACAACTGCCATTTTTGTAGGTTAAAAATAATTGGATATTAGCAAATGCTTATGTTTCAACCTAATACCACACATGCTATGCACCCAGAAGGCAAAGAACTCACTAATTAATCTGGTTTGGGCTCTAATCAAGCAACAAATGTTTATAGAACATTTGTGAGACTCTGGGTACAAAGATAACTAAACCAAAATCCTGCCCTCAAGGAGCTCATGTCCTACATGAAGAGATAAGACAAGCTCACGAATTGTTAAATAACAATGTGAGGAATGGTCGTTCTGTTGTAAGGAAGTACCTGAGCAATTACCAAATAAATGACCAGTCCAGTGTGACAGGGCTTCAGAGAAAAGAGAAGGTCACTTAGGGTGAATACAGGTAGTACATGAAGCATATGAATCAAAGAGGAATTGGATTGAAGGAGAAGGAATCCAAAATGGGAAATGTCAAGATATATTCTGTCCAGGCACAGAAGTGGGAAATGTCAAGATATATTCTGTACACCCAATCTAAAATCAGGGTAGAAAGAATAGTCAGAGGCAGTGTGTGGTGGGCTTCGATATCATGCTGGGAGCCTTGCCTTTTTTCCTGTAAGTAGAAATCATATGCTGTAGAGAAATCAGAAACAAAAGACAGTGTACACAAAAGACATAGTAGTCACTGTTCGCATATGAGGAGACAAGATGTACAGAGACCTTGCCCAAGGTGACACAACAGGTAAATGACAGTCTGACCTTAGACCCAAGGTGGTCAGGCCGCAAAACCCCACTATTAAACACCATGATCCAAATGAAATGAAGACCTATGTCCATACAAAAGCCTGAACGTGAATAATCGTAGTAGCATCATTCATAGCAACTAAAAGGTGGAAACAACTCAAATGTTCATCAGCTAATGAATGAATAAACAAAATGTGGTATTTTCATAAACTGGAATATTATCCAGTCCTGAAAAAAAAAAGAACTGATGTATACTACAACGTGGAAGAACCTTGAAAAGATGATACTAAGTGAAAGAAGCCAATCACAAATGACCACATAGTCTATGATGCCACTGATGTGAAATTTCACAGTAAGAAACAGAATGTGGGTTGGTGTTTACCTAGGTCCTAGGAGCAGGGAATGTGAGTAACTGCTTAATAGATGTGGAGATTTGAGGGACAGGGTGTGATGGAAATGTTATAGATTTAGATTGTGACGATGATTGTATGACTTTACTAAAAATCATTGAACTGTACACTTCAAGTGAATACATTTTATGGTGCGTGAACTATATCTCCATAAAGCTGTTAAAAGATGTTTAAACATGTAAGACAATTCCAGGGGTTTTTTTATGTGCAGCGACACCTAGAGACCAGGGGAAAGGTGGAGCAAAGTGAGCTCTAGAGTTAAAGACAGTCAGGGCCAGATCTATGAATGGGACAGGTCCCATGCCAAACCTTCCAGGAGAAAGAAAATTCACAAACCAGGGACAGCTTCTTCTGCTACCCTTGGGTCAGCAACTTCCATTCTGCAGACCCCAGCCCTAACTTAGGAAGACACTTAGTTAAATGGTTCACTTCCTAGCCAGACTAAACATGTTAGAGTCTATTGATGAGGGTATGCTTAATTTGCCTTGTTTTGGTTTTGTTCTGCAGTTTTTGAAGAGCCTGAAGATCCAAGCAACAGATCGTTTTTCTCTGAGATTATCTCTTCGATATCGGATGTGAAATTCAGCCACAGTGGGAGGTATATCATGACCAGGGACTATCTGACTGTTAAAGTCTGGGATCTCAACATGGAAAACCGCCCCATCGAGACTTACCAGGTATGGGACCCTATGCACCCGTAGGTATACTGAGCACTCCCTTTGTGAGCTTTCCATCAACCTCTGCTAGCACAGTCTGTGAATGCCACTGGATTTTAGATAAGGGTGCAGAAGGAGACGCTGGACTCAGTTTAACCCATATGGACAGTGGCACTGCATGTGGGATGGATACTGCAGAGGTGACAAGATGAACATAATCCTGCTTTCATGGAGTTTGCCATCTGGAGAGGCCAGATGATGAGCAAGGAATTGAGTGTGCAGCTGTGCCGGGGCATCCTGAGTGCTGCGGGGCACATCACAGGGCGAGCTAGCCAGGAGACTATTAGCAGTTACTTCTGTCCTAAAGAAGTGACCAATAGGCTGGATTTTCAGTGCCATGATTTAGTCAGAAAAAGTGTGTTCTTAGAACGACAGTGTGTTCAAAAATCTGGAGCCAAGAGAAATGTGGTGTGCTCCGAAGGCTCACACTTGAGTAAAAAATACCAAGGCAGGAAGGTGATCCCAGAGATGCAGGCAGGGACTTGAATGTGCAGGGCTGGTAACTTGGAGTGGGCTGTTTTGTCTGTGGGCTGAGGACACTGGAGAGCCATGAAAAAGTTTTACGCAAGGAAATGGCACTGTGAGTTTTTTTGTTTTCACTGTGTTTCACTCTGCAATTTGCCAAACAGACTCAAGGCATTTAGGTGGGAGGAGATGATTGTGCTGTAGCCTGGAAGGCGGCTTGCAGACAGAAGGGGTGGGAGAAGGCTCCGTGAGGCTTGCTTCCTGATGAATCCTGAGGAAAGAGGGATGAAGAAGAATGTGTAAGCATTGGGTAGATGGTGGTAGATATAATAAAACAAAGGAGAAGCCATTGTTTAGAATGGCTTTATTGAAAGAGGAAAACTGGACTTGGAGGCAGAGAGGATTTAAAGAAGCTAATTTCAGGCAAGAGTCTAAAGAAAGCAAAAATTCGGGGATAGGGATAAAATGATCTAATTTTAAGATATCTTGAATTCAATAAAAAGATGTAGGGGGAGTCTAAACAGAGGGATTTGGCATACAGTTTTTCCTTGAGGTATAATTTACATATCCTCATAGTCACCCTTCTAAAATACACCATTCAATTTAGTCTATTCACAAAGTTGTATAACCTCCACCACTGTCTGATTCTAGAACATTTTCATCATTGCTTCACAGTTTCAAATGAACATCCTGGTTGTGCTGGGGGAAGAGAAACTAGAGAAAGACACTGGAAGAGACAGGGAGAATAGCTATAAAGTTATTGTGACATTCTGGCAAGGGGTGACAGCAGCTTGGAGAAGGGTGTTAGCAATGGATGTGGCCAGATTCTTGACATATTCCCAAGGTAAAACCAATTGAATTTGAGGACAAGTTTGAGGTGGGATGTAAGAGGAAAAGAAAGAGACTCCAAGGGCCACTCCAAAGTTTTTATCCTGAGCAATTAGAAAAGTGGAGTGGCCAAATTATTGAGATGAGGAAACCAAGAGTTTGGTTTTGCGTGTGTTGAGCCAATTAAACATCCAAACAGAGATGGCAAGTAGACAACTCAGTGTGAGTCTTTACAGATTCAGCTAAAATCTAAATTTGATACTCACAAGTATATAGAGGGTCCTGAAAGCTGTGGGCCCAAGTGAGATCTTCCAGGCAATGAGTATAATTAGAGAAGAGATGAGGAAACACGCCTTGGAGCCCTAGTATTTACAGGCTGAGACTAGGAAGAGGGTTTGGCAAAAAAGACTTGGGAAAAATCGCCAATGAGACATGAGGAAAACTGAGAGGAGTGTCCAAGAAGCCAAGTGAAGAAAATGTCTGAAGAGGAAGAAGTTACTAGCTGCACATGCGGCTGAATCAAGTATGAAAGACAAAGAATGACCACTGGATTGAGAATTGTGGGAATTATCAGGAATCTTGGCCGAGAGAAGTAGTGGAATGGTGTGAAAAGCATCTGGTTGGAGCAGTTTCAAGATGCTGTGGAGAGAGAATGGGAGTATGATGAGGACAGACAACAGTGTCAACACATTGTATTCTTAGGGGAACAGAGAATGGGCAGGGGGCTGGAACAGGATGCAACTGGAGGAGGTCAGGACAGCATGTCTTCCGCTGGTAGGGGAAAGCCAGTAGAGAGAAGCCACTGAACAAGCAAAGCCCTTGAGGGAAGCAAGGCAGTAGAGTCCACTACAGGACTGGCCGTAGGTGGGAAGATGAATGAATCATCTGCAGAAGGAAGAGAGCAGTGTGCACAGAGCGACAGATGCTGTCGGTGTGCACATTTTGTAATGGGAACACACAGATGATTTTGTATTACTTCAGTTTTCTCAGCAAAATAAGAAGCAAGATCGCCAGCTGAATGAGAAGGAGGAAAAGGGGGAAGTACTCACCTGAGAAAGAGAAGCATCATGGGGCTGCTCAGGGATCCACTTGAGGTTGTTGATTTGAAGTGAGACAATCTGCATGATTGTGTGTATCTTCCCAGCCACATTCACCAGGAATGAAAGGATACAAGGAAAGGCTAGAAAAGTTAGAGTTAACCCATGAGAGGTTTTGCCTCGTGAGTACCATGGAAGGAGAGAGAAAGGCACATTTGTTGAACATACGTGCTAAGGAGTAATCATCACGGTGGGCCACCAAAGCTAAGGTAGGGAAGAAGGGAAATAATGGACAGAGAAAAGAGTCAAGTCAGTGGGTTTGAAGACTTTCTAGAAGCAAGATCCTAGGAGTGAACTAAAAAGATAAGAAGTAGCAGCAGCACCAGGGTGAGACTTGCTCAACCGGGATCAAGCTAAAATGTTTTTGCACAGAAAAACAAACCATCAAGAGACTAAAGAGGCAGTCCATGGAATGGGAAAAAATATTTACAAGCTATGCATTGGGCAAAGGCCTGACATTCAGGAGCTACAAGGAACTCAAACAAATTGACAGGGAAAAAACACAACTCCATTAAAAAGCAGCAAAGGACATGGATCAGACACTTCTCAAAGGATGACATACAAGCAGCCAATGAATATATGAAAAAATGCTCGGCTTCACTAATCATCAGAGAAATGCAAATCAAAACTATGATGGGTTACCACCTCACACCAGTCATGAGAGATGGATGGATGGATTTAGAGTCAATCATACTCGGTGATCCTTCCCAGAAACAAAGAACAGAATACCATATGTTCTCACTCACAAGTGGACCTTGAACAATTAGCATAATACTATAAGAAAGGGATTGGCAGTAGTGGGAAACTGCGGGGGGGGGGGGGGTTGTCAGTTGAGGAAAACTAGGGGAGGGAGGGGCACACCTCATCAACAAAGAAAGGTACCTGCATAACCAATGTTTGTATATCTAACCCTGAATTGTACCCCACATCTTTAAAATAACAATAAATAAAAAAATCAAAAACTGGCCGAGCTCGGTAACTCAGCCTGTAATCCCAGCACTTTAGAAGGCCAAGGCAAGTGGATTGCCTGAGTCTGTGGGTTTGAGACTAGCATGGGCAACTTGGCAAGACCTCATCTCTACAATCCATCAAAAATTAGCTGGGCATGGTAGCACACACCTGTAGTTCCAGCTACTTGGAAGACTGAGGCGGAAGGATCTCCGGAGCCCAGCAGGTCAACGCTTGAGTAACCATGAGTGTGCCACTGCATTCCAGCCTGGGCGACAGAGTGAGACTCCAACTCAAAAAAGAAAAAAAATAGTCAAAAACAACAGGTGTTGGCAAGGCTATGTAGAAAAGGAAACACTTCTACACTGTTGGTGGGAATGTAAGCTAGTTCAACCTTTGTGGAAAGCAGTGTGGCGTTTACTCAAAAAACTAAAAATTGAGCTACCACACGATCCACCAATTGCACTTCTGGGAATATGCCCAGAAGAACATAAATCACTCTACCAAAAAGACACCTGCACATGTATGTTCATTACAGCACTGTTTGCAATAACAAAAGTATGGAAGCAACCCAGATGCCCATCAAAAGTGGACTGGATAAAGAAAACGTGGTACATATACTTGATGGAATATTATGCAGCCACAAAGAAGAACAAAATCATGTCCTTTGCAGCAGCATGGATGCAGCTGGAGGCCATCATACTATGTAAACTATCACAGAAACAAAAAATTGAATACCGCGTGTTCTCACTCATAAGTGGGCCCTAAACATTGGGCATACAAACACAAAGGTGGGAACAACAAACGCCAGGTACTGCTAAAGGAGGGAGGGAGGAGGAAGGGGGACACACAACCATACATTAGGTACCATGTCCACTGCTGGGGGAGAGAGGGCTCACTAGATGCCCAAACCTCAACTGCATGCTTTTTACTTATGGAATAAATTGTCACATGTACCCCACAACTCTAAAATAAAAATATTTTTAAAATTTAAAATAAAAAACAGGGACAGTTATAGCCATGACAAGATTCATAATATGATCAGGAAGCAAAGGAAAGAAGACATTGCATGTGGTGAGACTAAGGAGCTGAGGGCCTGGAGTTTTTAATTACAAATGATGGCAGGAATAGTGACAGAAGAGAGAAAGAGGTACTAAAATTGCTCCAAGGAAGGAGGACTAGAGACTCAGAAAACTTTCCGTGCAGAGAAGGCTGGGGGACAGGAAATCCCTTTTGATGGCAGGATTTCATAGGAACTGGGGACTTGAACCAAGAATAGTTGCCTGGAGCAGCATGGGACCCACCCACCCCACCTTGGCACAGGGAATGAGGGCAAACTCCAGCCCCCACCTGAGTGCCCTCAGGAGAAGCATGTCTCCTGGGGAGGAACACGTTTCAGGCAGAGGCAGAAGTGGGAAGAAAAGTTTCAAGAGGAGACTGAAGACACTGGCGATTTTAGAGACTGAGTTCCAGTGGGTACTAGAGAAAGGTCAAGAGCCAGAATTCACAGCCACATCTGCAGCTGAGATTGTTCTGTTTCTCCTGTGGGCCAGAGCATCCCCTGTGTATTTAGAATGTTCCTGTCCTCCGAATCCTGCCCGACTTCAGAGCTCAGCTCCATATCACCTACTCCCAACTCCCATTCACAGCTCTTCATCTTTAGCCAATGACTAGAGGCACCACCAGTGAACACCACCAGCTACGTACGACAAGCCTTCCGGTGTCATAACCTTGAATGCAAAAGAGAGGGCCATCGAAACTAGGACCTAAGTGTCAGTGGCGTTTACAGAGGTGTGGGCTGCTGGACAGCCTTGCATAAGATGGAGAGAGTCAGGATATGTGGTAGCAGAATAATCAGTACTTTCATTTTAGGGGAAGGCTTTTAAGACAAAGCTAGTGTTCGCGTACAGCTAGCTGGCTTTGACATGAGGTAAACATTTTAAGACTATGGTTTTCACCAAGCACAGTGGCTCACACCTGCAATCCCAACACTCTGGGAGGCCAAAGCAAGAGGATTGCCTGAGCCCATGGGTTCAAGACCAGCCTGGGCCACTTGGCAAGACCTCACTTCCACAATAAATCAAAAAAAATTAGCCAGGTGTTGTAGCACATGCCTGTAGTTCCAGCTATTTGGAAGGCTGAGGCTGAAAGATCATCCGAGCCCAGTATATTGAGGCTGCAGTAGCCATGATTGTGCCATTGCACTTCCAGCCTGAGTGACAGAGTGAGACTCCAACTCCAAAATAAAAAAAATAAATAAAAAAACACCGTGGTTCTTAAGCCATGTTCAGCTGATGATGGACTAGAAATCATCATCTTTGTAGAACACTAAGAAATAGGTAACAGCACATGTATGGAAATGAAATATCACAAAATGTTAACTTAACTTTAGGTAGTATATTGTCAAGCAATTTGGTTAAACTTGCATACTATATCAAAGATAGTAACTAAACTCAGATTCAGTGAGTCTCCAGAATACCACTGAGAAAGGTTGTGAGATTCAACAGGAAAGAATTCAAGTGTCAGCTGCTGACACCTGCCCTGGGCAGGGAGAGAGGTGGTGCCCACCCCCATGAATGTTCAGACATGCATCAACACATCTCAAGCATGTTTCCATGAACAGTTCCATGAGTTAAACATGTGGGCTTCATTATGATTAGCTATTTTCAAGTTTAATAAGACAGGAGTTGGCAAACAGCAACTTGTGGGCCAAATCCAATCCCCACTTGTCTTTGTAAATACATTTTATTGAAGCCCAGTCGTACACAGTCATTGGCACATCTTCTATGGTGGCTTTCATGAGGCAAGGGCAGAGTTGGGTGGTTGTCCCAGAGACCACATGATCCACAGAGCCTAAAATATTTGCTGTCTGACCCTTTACAGGAAAATATTGTCAACTCCTGAAACACAAGAACAGACCAATAGAGTTTACTCTTGCTAGGCTTCCATTAAGCATATGACATCAGGCTCCCCCAAGTAAATAATTTGAGAACCCCTGTGTTGGGACACTCTGTCTAGGGCCAAGAAGCCCATTCACAAGCTACTAGGAACACAGAGAAAGAGCAATATTTGGAACATGAAGAAAGCAATAAAACAGGATGAGTTGTAAGTTCCCTCTTGCCCTAGACTCTAGATGTTTCTCGAATGTACACCTTACCTTATTCTCTATTCTGGTGGGGAAAGGGCCATCTGGCTTGCTGATGAAGAATTTTTTTAACAACAGAAGATAAATATAACATGCCTTCTTAGTCGATGTTCTCTTTCTCTAAATGCTCTCACCCCAGACCTTGAGTGCTGTGGAGAAGAAATAATGACTCAGGCAAAGTCTTCCCTTGAATCCTTCTCAACGTCTAACTTTTGAGACTTATTTACAGAGATCTTGGCAGTGTGGCTCCTGCTAACCAGCCCACCTTTCGAGGCACATGCACACTGAGAGACTTAACAGCTCACATCTGAAGAAGAGGGGTTCACGGAAATCATTGCCGTTTAAAATAGCACTGACCTTCTTGCTGTGTTTCCCCTCAGGTCCATGACTACCTCCGCAGCAAGTTGTGCTCCCTCTACGAAAATGACTGCATTTTTGATAAATTTGAGTGTGTGTGGAATGGGTCAGACAGGTAAGTCCAAGGGTGGCTGCCTTGAGGAGGCGCTGGGCAACTTATCCTGAGTGGGGTACAGCCACAGGGAGGCCAGACTCAGGCCCTGAGCCCCGGTCAAGATGCATCGTGTGAGTCACTAGTGACCCATGAGGTCAGACCTGGAGAGAAGGCGCAGATACAGTGAGACCCTGGAATCCTGTCCCAGAACTGGCACAAGGGACAACTTCATGGCAATAAGAAAGTCCTGCCCTTACACATAAGACACCTCATGCCCTAATGAAGATCACTTATGGTCTGTCAGCAGATTCTAGCCTGAACAGATTCTAGCCTGAACAAAGTGAGCTTTCCAGGTCAAAAACTATCCCGAGAAGCTGCTCGTGTAGACCTGGCTAAAGGCCCTGGTGGCCTGCCGGCTGAATTCTACTTGGCCTCAGTTGTCACGTTCCCTCAGGGTGATATACGACTATTTAAGTCCTTTGGTTTCATCAGTGTTTCATTCTGCCACATGGCGAAGGACCAAAGTCACACTGTCCAGTTGGCATAAGACAGAGCAGAGTAACTGTGACCTACGAACAAAACTCTCCAAGGGGAAGAGAAGCCAGCCCTGTCATTTTATTCTCTTTCTTTTTTTTAAGAAAGCAGGATCTATTGAGAGAACAGAAAAGCTCCCACAGTGGGAGGGGACCCAAAGGGGTTGCCCACATTCTTTATTTTTATTTATACATATATATCATTTATGTATTCATTGTTCATCATTAGTCAATATTATTTATTATTATTTACATATTTGTTGTCCATATTGCTCTGATTTCCCCTTTGTCTTAGCCTAGATTCGAAAGCTACACTTATTAGACCCCTACTATGTACCAGGTACCTTCACACACACAGTTTTGTTGACTCCCCATCACAGTCTGACAATGTTGTCTTCATCATCCTCAATTTGCAGTTGAGGAAACCAAGGCTTAATGAGATAAAGTAACCTGCCCAAACTCACAAAGTAGTAAGTAGTAGAAACAAAGTCAGATGTCTTGTATTTGAATCCAAAGATCAACATTCTTTCCATAATATCACACTGGGAAATCTTATTTTTGGTTCAGATGAGGTTGAGATTTTTTTCCCAAAAGAAGACTATCGCTTCCTTGTTTAACAGTAAGTCAGGTCATGGTGGGGATGCAAACATTAGTGCATAGGAAGCAATGACACCACGTGGCTAATACTTAGGCCCTGGAGTCAGGCATATGAGGGCTGGAGGCCAGACTTTCCCACTCCTTCACAATGTGACACTGTAAATAACTCACTTCTCCTCTGGGAATCCCTTCTGTGGGATAACAGAAGTTGGATGAGACCATGGAGGTAGAACCCTCAGCACCCTGCCAGACAAAGGCAGAGCCGTTCACTAGAGCATAGAGACAAATGCAGCTCACGGCATCAGTTTCTTGGGTCAGAGGAACATAATCTAACCTTTGATTAATTCACCTGGCACAGCTGACAAAATGCCCCCAAACACACCCCTTTGTGTGGCCCAGTCTTGTCAGATTGCACCTTCACCTTTCTGTGTAGCACAAGTCACCTGAGAAACAGACTAGACTCTGTGCTTTCCCATGTTAAGGGACCAGAGCTCCACCCAGAATCTGGGACTCTCCCTCCACCCCTCAGCCTGTCACCAAACCTGCAATGTCACCATTGAAGATTCAGAACCTTGCTTCCTGAAGAAATTGGACATTCCACGTTCTCCTGATCAACTGAAGATATCCCTGGGAATGGATAACTCTTGTAAAAATGTAGAAACCATCAGTCCACCCACTCTAAAGCCTCTTATTTCACCATCCCAGATCCTCTTAAGATTTGAATTTATTTACTCTCTTCCAAGTATGACCATGATGACATCCATTTTGTAGAGGAGTTTGCTTAAAAGGCTGAATTAAGAGCTGATTCTGGGCAGGGGCAAGGACATGTCCAGGTCATGCACTGTGCCACCAGCACCTTTGCCACCACCCACTGGCACCATGAAACCTTAGAGGTCACATGGCCCAGGAGACTCCGACAGCAGCCGCACTCTAAGCACACACAGCGGCTCATTGCTTTCAAAAGTGTTTCTAGTTTCACAGCCTCATTCTAGTCTCATAATCCTGATGGGAAATAGGTAGGGCTGACATCATTCAAACCACTGGACTCATTTTTACCAAGCCAGAGAAATAGAAGGAATCTGTCATAAAGCACATAACTAGAAGGATTATCACCATCCTTCATTTCCAAGCCCAGCCAAAGAGCTTGTTGCTATTAGTGATTCAAAAGAAAGTCAACAGGCACACTGTAGAGCCTGTGTTTGTTTGTTTGTTTGCTTGCTTGCTTGTTTTAAATAAAACCTAGGCCGGGCTCGGTGGCTCAGCCTGTAATCCTAGTGCTTTGGGAGGCCAAGGTGAGTAGATTGCCTGAGCCCGAGGGTTCGAGACCCGCCCAGGCAACTTAGCGAGACCTCATCTGTACAATAAATAAATAAATAAAAAATCAGCCGGGCATGGTAGCGCACACCTGTAGTTCCAGCTACTCGGAAGATTGAGGGGGAAGGATTGCCAGAGCCCAGCAGGTCGAGGCTACGGTGGCCGGGAGTGTGCCACTGCACCCCAGTCTGGGCGATGGAGTGAGACTCCAGCTCAAAAAATAAAAATAAAAATAAAACCTAAGGTGCTGTTAGCTGGCCACTCTGTGGTGTCGCTTGTTCCAGAAAGACATACTGAAGATATGGGGTTGCCTTTCTTCACAACGCTCAGTCCCTCTCTCTTTCCTCTGCCTTGCAGCGTCATCATGACAGGCTCCTACAACAACTTCTTCAGGATGTTTGACCGCAACACCAAGCGTGACGTGACCCTTGAGGCCTCGAGGGAAAACAGCAAACCGCGGGCTATCCTCAAACCCCGGAAAGTGTGTGTGGGGGGCAAGCGGAGAAAAGACGAGATCAGTGTCGACAGTCTGGACTTTAGCAAAAAGATCTTGCATACAGCTTGGCATCCTTCAGAAAATATTATAGCAGTGGCGGCTACAAATAACCTATATATATTCCAGGACAAGGTTAACTAGGTGGACAAGTTATTACTTCATAATCTTACATACTGAATACTAGTCAAACAAGTTTTTAAATGTTTCTTTGGGTCTTCATTTGATGCATTGACTTTAATTTCCCTATGCAGAAAACAATTGGAATAGAATTGAAAACAGTCCAACTTTCCCAGCTCCCCAGTTCTAAGAAGCTTTTGTCAAACCCAATAAGCTTGGGACACTTCTGTTTAGAATTGAAAGCTGCCAACTAACAGTAACTCTTCCATAGTTGACTTGAACTTCTGATGCTTTCATTGCCCAGTTTTCTCTGGTGGGTCCAGTGTTTTGTTCCTAGGTGTCTGCTGCGATAAAATGAGGTTGTCTGTAGTATTTAAGGAGAAAAGAGATACTTTTTTTTTAATTAAGCAATTCCATTTGATTGAAAAAATCAACAAAAAATAAACACCGTTTACTCTTAGATTCTTCTTGTTTTGTGAAAAATCAGAACTAATTGCATCTCCTGCCCCTCCACCATTTTTTTCCATTTCCCTTTTTCTTTTCAATAATTTTATTTAAGCCAAAGATTTATGTCATGACGCTGAGGAGGCAGAATGACAGGGGAAGGGCACATCAGTCCTTCTGGCCACTCTTTTCATGATCTCCATAGAAACAGCCCGAGAATTTGGCTGGGACCCGCCGTGAGCGCTTCAGGGGACAGAAGCAGAACACTTTCTACACAGAGCTTCCCAGAGCTTGCCTGGCATGGCCAGGCAGGGCTGAGTCCATCTGCTGCTTTGTTACTCTTGCTTTTTGTCCTTTTAAATGGCCCCCACGAAATCCTCTGCTCACACTTTCGTTGGCTTTTTCTCTTCAACCTTTCCCAGCTTATTTATTCCATTGACTTCTAAAGGCCAAGTCCTTGTTGCCTGATATCTGCTGTTCCCCATGAAGTATGAGTTGGCCGCAGAGGCGCCACGCCTGGTTCCCCAAGAAAGGCAGGTCTGTCCTTTTGGGCCGGGTCTCCTCAGCAGCTCCCTCATCCCCTCCTGAATTTGGTAACCAAAAGTCACAATCCACCAGTCTCCATTGTACCTAGAACAAAAATGGCCAGCAAAAGTGCTGATTTGTAAAGCCTCATCAAGCACTCCTAACCCACCGAAGCTCACCATCTGGAGAACCGACCAGGGGGCTCTCCTCCGACAAAGTGAACCCAAGGGACTCAAGTACTGGCACAGAGTAAATGAATCCCAGCTGGTTTGTTCTCCTCCCCAGTTGAGGATTCAGATTTATAACTTCCGGAAAACCACGTCCAGAGAATGTTGTATATGACACACCTTTGGGAAAGGCATAAATGAATGCAAAGCCTCCATAAATGTAGAGGAGAGGTTTTGGGAGTCAGTGGGTGATGTCCAGAAATCTGGGTCTGGGTCAATGTCTCTATATTGTCTTGATGAATCGTTTCTTCTAACTTCCATTTAGTGGATGGGGAATGGCTTGAGATGAGAGTTTATCCTTGAGAAATTTTCTTTCATTTTGTGGATTTATTAGAGGTCCCAGCTTTCAAGTGTAATCTGTTTTGGAGTAGAAAAACGTAGTGAAAGAATCATTTTGTCTCAATTCTAAGATGCTATCCATTTAGAAACAGCTTTTTGGCAAGGGAAATAACTATCACCTTAAGTAAAAACAACTTTGTAAAATGAAGCCCAGTTTCAAGAACACTAAAATGTGAAAAAGTCCCTCACAGAATTGAGGGAGCGGGGGGGCTTTCACAGTGTCTCTTCTTTTCCTGGCAAGGGAAGCCTCTCCTGGGGTGTCTCTGAGCAGGACTTCTGGCTGGCCTGGGAGAACGCCCTTAGAGGAGACCTGAGAGAATCAGAACCTCCTTCAACTTGTAGGACTTGCGATGTGTAGAAGGCCCACCGGGTTACTGCCCCGTACCTACCATCAACTCCTCCTTGACCTTTCCTTCTCTTCTCTGGGGCTCAGCTCTGCTGGGTGTGCTAGGTGGGGGTGGGGGTGGGGGTGGGGGTGGGGATCTGACCCTGTTTCTCAGATTTAAGCATCAACCCACCCCTGTGCTACTACTCATGTCACATGTACTAAGTCGCCTTTCCTTAAAAGCAAGAATTGGCCTCCTCCAAAGACATAATATTCATGAAGTTTTAGTTCTGACATGGTAGTCATTTTTTTCTAGCATTCAAGTAATCACATAGCCATTAATATAACAAACATGTATCCACACACTACTTAAAATCTTTTTGTGAACCACCATGAGCATGTGTGTCAAGCTTTGGGACCCTGAGTAGCTGAAATGATGGAATGTTTACACCTTTGGAGGCATCAAAGGGTCTCGATGTTCTTCACATACTGGAGTCAACAGTGCTGCCCAGAACACACATGAGCACTGTGGGTCATGGTTAAGGGGTTCACAGGCCCTTATAATACGTCTGTGAACTCTAGATGAAAGCTCCTACTCTCGACCAAGACCCTTAGCACATAGATGCACAACCTGAGGTTCAGAGAGTTTGCTAGATAGGTTGGAGCAAAGAGCAGCCAGCTCTTCCTCCATTCCATGTGTACATGCATCAGAGCAAACATCCCAGAGTCCTGGGCAGGAGCCGGCAGGGGAAGGCCTGGAGGCGAGGCCTCAGCAGTGACTACCACACTTCCCAGTTGCTGCTCGTTACCAGGTGCCGAGCCAGGTGTTTTACATGTGTGATCTCCTTCAGCTCCATCACGGGTGATATTTCTTAGAGAGTGGCACACAGAAGTGAATCTCTTTTCCAGCTTTTCAAAAGCTTTTTGAAAGCTGACTTGCCACCTTGCCACAGTTTGTTCAATTCTAAGGACTCTGTGCTACTTCCCAGTGTGAGGCCTGCTGCTTCATAGGAGCCGTCACATTACAACCAGAGGATGTCAGTTGGATTAAGGACAATGGAGCCATGCCTTCCCGAGCTTTTGCATTCTCTTGCAACTTTCAGCTCCTGACATTTAAAAGCAAGCAATGCAAAAATCTGAACTTTGGCAGACACCCATATTTGCTTATCAGGAAGAAGAAGATGGGTTAGAAAAAACAAAGAAGGAAGACACCAGCCAAGGTCAAGCAGTGGGATCTACGTGGGTAGGGAGGCAGTAGGAATCAAGTTGCTGGGGTTTTTTGTTGGTTTTTTTTTTTTGAGTCAGAGTCTTACTTTATGCCCAAGCTGGAATGCAGTGCCATGCTCACGGCCACCACGGCCTCGACCTGTTGGGCTCAGGTGATCTTTCCTCCTTAGCCTCCTATGTAGCTGGAACTACAGGCGTGCCCCACTACACCCAGCTAACTTTTTTATTTATTGTAGAGATGAGGTCTCACCAAGTTACCCAGGCTGTTCTCAAAACCATGGGCTCAGGCAGTCCTCTCACATTGGCCTCCCAAAGTGCTGGGTTTATAGGTGTGAGCCAACGTACCTGGTGAGCTGCTTCTTAACTCCTTAAAACCTGGCTCCAGCCTTTACTCTTCTATTGAAAAAAAAATGCATCGTTATTTTTATTTGTTTATTTAATTTGTAGAGATGGGGTCTCGCTATGTTGCCCAGGCTGATGTAGAACTCCTGGTCTCAAGCAATCCTCCCCACCTCAGCCTCCCAAGTAGCCAGGATTACCGGCGCGCACCACCAAACCTGGCTAAAAGTGATCTTTAAGCCTTGGTCTGGCATTTAATTCAACCATATCAATATTTATTAGGCAACTAGTATGTGTAAGGCAGAACAATTCTCTGGTGGAACATAGACAAAGCAAAAATTTCTTCAACTCAGGGACCTGACAACATAGGTCAGCTGTCTCTTGTGAACTGCTTGTGGACACTCTAGGGTTTATTATAACAAGAAGTGGACCTTCAAATACCCAATTGCTGAGGTCCTGGGAGACCATGATCTCCCTCCCTCCAAGCAACTACCAGAGCTTCCCCCCACCCTCACCCCACCCACCCC